CCTGCTGAATATGAGTGAAAGGAGCCTAATAGAGCATCAAAATGGACCAAAATAGCAGTAGGAGGCCTAGAGACTCGAAGGTAGGGTTTTAGGCGAGAAATGGGTTGTTCCCAAATCGGAATAGACTGTTTCAAACTACTAAAGTAGCCTAAAACCCTATTGGGAATGGCATGTTCCCAATTTAAAATGAGTTGTTCCGACCCACTAAAATGACCCAAAACCCTAGTTGGGAACAACTTGTTCCCAATCCAAAATAGGTTGTTCTAATGGCTTAAAACCCTAGTTGGGAATGGTCTGTTCCAAAATTAGAACGATCATTCCACATCTCAAGGAGCCTATAAATGTGTGCCTGATGCACACATTCCCACACATGCTGCTTAGCTAACCTAGTTCAAGCAAAAACTCTTTTTTTTTTCTCCATACTTTTTTGAGTGTTTATGAGACTTTTGTAGAGTGAAAGGCTAGCAAAATACACTTTTGTATTAAGATCTTGAAGTTTATTTTATAAAAGCCTGCTACGGAGGTATTTTTACCAAATTCCCTTTTTCTCTCGTTATTTATTTGATTGTTCTTAATTATATTATTGCCATGGAAATGTCATTCCTCATGAAAATATTTAATATGTGAATAATTAATAAAATGGTAAATATTTAATTATTTTTATTATTATGCTAAATTCATTGTAGGATATCGAATTAGAGCGTTGTGGGGTGTTTAATATCTTCCTCACATGTAACTGACCCCCGAACCTAATTTTGGTTATGAAGGCCATTATTAATTTTCAAAAACTCTTTTTTTTTTATATGTTTTTGAGTAAAATATCATTGACAACTCCTAAGAACCTTTTTCAAAAACTATTGGCGAATTAGTGTAGTCTCTAGGCATTCCTAAATCGATGAGATTTTCAAACGGAAGTCAAAATCAGCTGTGGGAAAAATTGAAATTTTTTGGATTCCGACAATGATCTGTATCAATAAAGTTATATTAAAAATTCCTTTTTTCAGATATAATCACGAATAAAGTGATATCTTATTTCAATGTGTTTAGCTTTGTAATGTTGTATGAGAGTTTTTGACATATTTATGACACTTGTGTTGTCATATAATACAAGTATATTTGATTCAAGACTGAAATAGTCTTCTTACTTATCCAAGAGATAAGACAACTTTCCAAAAAGTAACATCCTCCACTTGTATTCTTTCTTTCAATTATGTCCTCTGCATAGCCTGAGTTACAAAATCCTGCTAACCTAAAATTATTATTTCTTTCATTGAACAAACTTAGATCAGTAGAGTCTATAAGATATATAAATATTTGTTTCACAATGAGACTCTTTGGGGTCAAACTGAAATCTGGCACAAAGACATAGTCTCTTACAACACCCTTATAGCTGCGTATGCTCATAGGGGTGAGTGCGGGCCTGCATTGAGGCTCTTTGAGGAAGTTAGAGGGAGGGTGGGGGTAGGGATTGGAGGCGGTGGGGTTGTTCTGGGAGAAGGGTAGGATGGGGTTGATGGTTGATATGTTCACTATGGCGAGTGTTTTGCCTGCTTTTACTTGTGTTAAGGATTTGGTTGGGTGTATGCAGTTTCATGGGGTGATGATTAAGAGTGGATTCCATGGGAATTCACATGTTGGGAGTGGGTTGATTGATTTGTATTCCAAGTGTAGGAAGGTTTTTGAGGAGATTCCGGCATCGGATTTGGTTCTTTGGAACACGATGATTTCTGGATTTTCACAGTATGAGGACTTGTCTGAAGGTTTCATTGCTTTAAGGAAGGGAACTGTTCATGCAGGGATTACTGGTGATAAAAACAGTCATTATTGCTACTTCAGTGGGAAAGTGCGATATACAATCATACTAATTATTTACCTATGACATGTTTCGGTAAACACTAAACACTTGTTCAATAGAAGTTTGTCAACTGAGAGCTTATTCATAAGTTTGACATTGAAGCTTATTGAAATAAGTTAAAAAGAACTTATTTTAATAAATTTCACTGCCACTGTTCTACGTGCACGGGGCATCGGTACACACTCTTCATGGTTGGACAGATTTTGATTATGGTTGCCACTGTACATTAGAAAATAGTCAATTATTGTCATTTTGTGAATCTGTTTAAAGGAATAGGTGGTGAAAAGAAAAAGGAGTTTGTTATGAGTCCCAAAGATGGGGCATTGTGGAAGGCTCAACAAAGTGTTTTGATTCTTTTCAAGCGTTGTTCCGGCATGAAACAGTTAAAGGAGATGCACGGTCGCATTGTCCAAAGCGGCTTCGATAAGAACCCGCTTGTGGTCGGAAAGATCATCGAGTTTTGTGCGGTGTCGGGGCACGGAGACATGAATTACGCAGTGAGGGTTTTTAACATGATCGATAAACCCGACGCGTTTATGTGTAACACCATGATCAGGGGCTTCGGACAAACTAGCCAACCACGAAAGGCCATTGACTTGTACAGAAGAATGCATGAAAAAGACAGTTTCACGTTCTCTTTCTTCCTCAAAATCATTGCTGGATTGGGGTCAGTTGCATTGGGAAAGCAACTGCATTGCACAATCCTTAAACATGGGCTTGAAACGCATGCTTATGTGAGAAACTCTCTGATTCACATGTATGGTATGGTGAAGGACGTAGAAACTGCACACCAACTGTTTGAGGAAATTCCAGATCCAGATTTAGTGGCTTGGAACTCTATCATCGACTCTCACGTGCATTGCCGAAACTATAAACAAGCTCTCCACCTGTTTGCCAGAATGCTGCAGAGTGGCGTGCTGCCCGACGACGCCACTTTCGTAGTGACCCTCTCAGCTTGTGGAGCCATAGGAGCACTGGATTTCGGGAGGCGAATTCATTCTATCATACGTAACACTGAGCTTGGTGGGAGTGAGAGCACATTGGTCTCCAATTCGCTAATTGACATGTATGCGAAGTGTGGAGCTGTGGAGGAAGCCTACCACATATTTACTAACATGAAAGGGAAGAAGAACGTGATTTCATGGAATGTCATGATTCTTGGGCTTGCCTCCCACGGTAATGGAGAAGAGGCGTTGGCCCTTTTCACGAAAATGTTGCAGCAGAATGTGGAGAGACCGGATGGTGTTACATTCTTGGGGGTGCTAAGT